TAATCTGTAACTATTCTGGTAATAATTTAACTCCAGACATTATCTGGTCCCTGTATTTCAGATGTGAATATCTGCTGCTTTTCGGTTTCCTGTGATTGTAAATGAATTCTCTTTGGGTTTTCAACTGAACAAAACTAGGAAACTTACTTTGAAAATTACATCTTGGGGTTTTGTGATGAGCATTTCTCCTCTGAAAATAATCAGCAAATTAATTGATGAAGAAAATCATTATTAGTTGCAGCCTTAACAGTAGTAATGTTTAGTAACAGCGCTTTACATACAAGAGGTCAACACCTGTGCTCAGAAAATGTCCGTTATATTTTTAAAAGTAACCTTTGGGGGAAAAGTATGGATTCTGCATTCTTCCACAGTATCATATCGGCACTGGTATGGATTGGTTTCAGATGATACGGCCCACATGTAGCCACAACCATATCTGTGGAACCGAAGACAAATTCATCTAAAGCTAACACAATGACCAAAGGTTAAGGTTAAAAATCAGATGTTATATACAGAGTTGGACTCAGCGGGGGTAACAGACTGTGTTTCTAAAATGACCCTATTATTGTCACTGTTGTGACCATGACAGTGAGAGACATGTTCTTTTGTTGCTATTGTTTTGTTTTGTTCTGACATTAGTATTAGTAGTAGAATTAGTATCAAGCAGAAGTATAAAGTACAAATTTGACCTATCCTATATGTATGTGCACTTTTTTGTTTTTTGGACACTACTGGATAGTTGTTGTGTAACCACTGACGTTCTTCAGTCACCCTGTTTCTTGCCATGGATCCCAGATCCACACCACCCATCTCATTTGATGCAAGCCCATAACCTGAGGGGAGGTCATGGTGAGAACGCTGAGTCCTATTTACTCCAGTAGACCATCCAGCCAACTTTAATAAACAATAATGCATTTACAGATGTTATCCAGTGGCCTGTTCTCTGATTTTCAATAGCGTTTCATGACTTCGTTTCCATGCACAGCCTGATTCTTTCCAGATTGGTTCTTGAGACTATATGGTTCACAGAAAGCTGTAAAGCCACATAACAGGTAGGTTTTCCATTGAGAGTAATATCATTATTTACCAAGTAACTCATTTGTAATGGTCTCTGGTATTTACTGACTTTCCCGTTGCATTTAACATCCTGAGCTTCTCAGAAACATATCCCCATGATATTACTGAGAAGCAGCCCCCCTCGTTTATTTCTCTTTCATTGCTACCAGCTGTCACTTAGGCACCAGTTTACACGCCAGTGGGTTTACAGACTACAATGTGAACACCATTTAACATACTGTAAATTCTACATGGCAAACCAATCAGGAAACACATGAACCTGATGGAAACGCACTGCATTTACTGCGTTTTACCCAAATTACGCTTGCTTCTTGTTTACATGGGTCAGGTGACAGTTTACCAGCTGGTGTCACGGAACCACAGTGCGAGTGTCCGTACACAGATATCGTGTCATGTTGTAGTTACTAGATTATTCGTGTAATCTCTCGGCTGAGACTCACCTGGCGTCTCCGATCGACAGGTTTCCTTTATGTTTAAAGTCGAACCATGAAATAATCCCAGTGGAGCTTCTTTAATCAGAAGACGTGGGCTAGTCTATTTTAGCTGAATGAAAAGTTTCACGACGGAGGAAATAAACATCAAGCCCACGAAGCCCAGTGACAGGGGACAGGGGACTGGGAGAGTGCGCGCTGCTGCTGAGCTGCGGGGCTGGGACTCTGTTTCTCCCAGTTTACAACAGGCAGCTGCGCCCTCTGTCGGCAGCAGGGGTTTCCTACTTACCTAACATCACACTTTGCATGTCGATGGGATAATCATGACTGGATCACTGAACGGGAAAATCGGGCGCAGGGGCCCAAGGACTCTAGGAGGCCCCTAGACCAGAGAACCGTGAAGGGACTGTTAACCTTTCTGCTAGAAAGTCAAAGCACTACACATCTAGGCCTACGAAAAGAATAGATGCAAAACAGCTACAGAGACAGAGTATGACTAAAAAGACAGAAACATTACTACATAAACTACAAGAGACACAAAACAACTAAAAGGAGATGCAAAACTATTACAAACGACTAGGCTATACGAACAGTGACTAAACTAAAACAACACAATTAGATTAGTAAATATAAAAACACAATCATATGAACAAGTATAGTGGCAGTTTTCCCCAGTGGTACACTTCAAGATAGCACCTTTTGTGCCACTGCTCTCGTCATTAAGTGCACCCCACATGCCTCGGGCCTCTAACAGGTATCCAGACCACGGATGTGTAGGAAGGGGAAGTGCAGCCAGAGTTGTCTGATGAAAGCTTGAGAATTTTGGTTTTAAGAATTTTCCTATTCTCAGTTGCTAACTGATCATGTTTTGCACAGGAGGTATTAGTGTCAATAAAAGTCTGTCTCCTGTGTTTAGTCTGACTGAATAGTTTGAGGTTTGTACTTTGCACTGCTGCTGGCATGCAGGCAGGGAGGAAAGGTTGACCAAGTGGAAATCCTTCAGCTTGTGCAGTATGTTCTTAGCTGTAATGATGAAGAGCAGTTTCCTGAAACTGCATCAAACCCGATGTGTATGATATTAAGCTTGTCCATTTGTGTCCTGCATCACCTTTCCTATTTTATGACATCACTTGTCATATTGCACTTGTCATCTGTTCAAAAGAATTTCACAGCTGAGTTACATATAAAAAAAATACAGAAATGTGCATTATATGAAGCCTAATAAATTCAGTTTCTTAGCACAGCATAAAGTATGTTCTATAGACACTACTGACTAATACTTAGAGTTGGGCAATACAGTATATACAGTATATGTACTGTGAGACAACTCAAATTTGTCACCTGCCATGTCTGCCGTGTATTTTTTTAATATCCCTGATTATATGTCATATGGGACTATTTTAGAAGCCAATGAGCAGAGCTGCTATATAGCAATATTATATTTACAGGACTCCTACAGAAATGTAATGATGTACTGTGATTTTTGACATCAAATGTCCATCTCTTTTTAGAAATGTGTAAATGGTTTCTTGATTGAATGTCCAACATATCAGACATATCTCAATATCACTGTATAAGATAAAAAGCAGCGTGACAAGATTTTATCCACATGGCCATCTCCTGGCTGCATTTTAAAAAATACTTGGTGCTTGCTATACGGTCCCCTCCAGAGGACAAATACACTATCAACTCCATCCAAAGCCTTCACAACATATTACAGTAATCTGGATGGATGCAAACCTATAAATAGTTTGTCTTAATGGGCTGGTCACGTTTAATAAACATATTAATCTCAGGTATCAATAAAACATTTCAAGTTACAAATAAATAAATGCATAACACTGGCCTAATAAATGTCAAATAGACACCTTAGCATATCTAATAACTCACCTTCACACTTTTTGTTACAATTGAGGTTTCACTTCAGGGGACAAATGTGACCATGTAACCAGGAGTGAATGGTGTGGCCTCATTTTATACTAATTAAGCATCACTGTATAGAACAGATACAGGGGACCGGAGAGAGAAGTGAAACACTTGTTTGCTCCTGTACAGATCATTAGAATCAATTTCAGCAGCAATAATGATTCTCAGAAACAAACTCATCCAGCTTTAACACTCCCTCTCTCTCACACACACCAAACTGTAGCACAGAGCCCACATCCTGTTCACTCTGGTTTTACTGCCTTTAAACCTTAACATGTGTAACCGGTTTAACTACACTTATTGTACACAAGCTTATTTTTGATATGGTGTGGTCTGCCCATCTTTTCTCACAGGCACAGGATAAAACAATAAGCAGCCTGGTAAAAGCAGAGTGTGTGTGAGACATGTAATGTGGCTGAGAAGTTAAATGCTGTCACTCACCATTAACTGAAGTAGATCTTGTGCGATGTAAGGGTAAAATCCAACCTTTGATAATACAGTGTAAACACCAGAAGGATACAGAAAGCTTCGTCCCAGTTTCTCACACCCATACAGTGTAGAAAGGGTTGGTCAGACAAACCCCCCTTTTATAAGAACTGAAGAACAACAATATTTAAAGAAAGATACAATCATCAAACACAAGACCTCATCCAAAGTAGGTGTGTCATTACCATTGACTCGGGTCAAATATGAGGAAAAGCAATGAGCCAAATACCACAACCCCACCCTGCCACCAGTTCGCCAAGAACCGATTCCTCTGATTCTGGTCCTAAACGATTTATTGAAACAAAGGGCACAAGTAGCATGAATGTACAGAAAACAGTAAAGAGCAAGTAGGAGATGCTAACCATGAGGTGTTCACCACAGAAGATGATCCAGAACCAGAAGAGTGGGGAGTAGAAGACACCCTGTCGAATATCTTCAAACAGCCACTCCACTGGTCCATTCAGGAACATCATAGAGATACCCAGAGCAAAAATTAGCCTGAGCAAGGCAACCAGACTATGGCTTAACATTCGCTCTAAAAGACAAGAAACTTTATGCTGCAGGCACAGTATTGACCTAGTTCTAACAGGACAATCATGGACTTAAGATGAAGGCATTTTCATGTCTCCTGCTGTCCACATGCCACCCTGGAGCATATACATTTTAAAAGTAGGACAAAGGGTTCATCGGTGGCTTTACGTTCTCACTGAGAAGCTAAAAGAGCGAGCAACGACGCAGGGTAACTGCTGAGAGCATGTCAACCTGCTACAGCTTATAAAATACAGTAAAAGTGACATTATGAAGTAAGATCTGACATAAAATATGTGAGGAAAATGCCACTATGAATTTTGTCAACTAATTTCCTATGACTATGTATTCATTATTATATACTTATGTTACTGATTTCTTTAATATTGAACTCTTTAGGGTTCCATATGCTTGCAACCTTAATACTAACCACAACGGTCTTTGTGGCTACATATTAGTAGTGCTACTAAGACAAAGCAGTTGACAAAGCAGTAGATTCAGGTTCCGGCAAGTTGTATGGCTTTCTTTTTTAAATCATACAAAACAATTGTCTATAAAACATGATTTCTTTATTGCTTAAAGAATACAACCTATATGTAGGTGAGTGAATGTGTATCACAACTAAGTTAACTGTCTTTAAACCAAGGTCTGACCACAATGCAAATGTTTGATACTGCACCGCAGGAGAAGAGAAATAAATTCAGCCTGGATATCAAAGCATCTTACAAAGTTACAGGTTAATAATCCTTAGCACTGTTTAGACTGACCTGGAGACAGCAGAGAGGATCACAGTAGTACCTACACTTTTAAAAATGCACAAAATGTGGGTTCTTAAGTCTGTCCTCAATCTTTGGTTCTGAGACAATATTCTGTTTGTCAAAGGTGTAGCTAATTTTAAATACTGTGGGTGGTTTATGGTACAAACAAGATGCAACATAGAGTATCTGAATGAGCTAAAACAAAATACCCATTTATTTCTCTACTTAACAAAAGAAATCCAATATTCACAACCCCTTAAATGATCCAATGTTAAACCAATACACCAAGAGCAGGGTAAGGAAAACTCTCTGTAAAAATGACAACCGAAATAACAATAAAGGAAGAATCAGATGCTCTGAAATCATTCAAGAGAAGTTCTTCTAAACTGCTCAAAATGACCTAGCACAAGTAAGTAAGCTATCTGGTGCAGTACCTGAAGGAGTGAACACTTGCTCCATTAATAGCAAAATTCACTGACATGCCAGGTAACATCTGCCTTCAGTGTGTCCACAACACAACCAGACATCTAGAAGTAACAACATAATATCAAGACAATCAAACAGAAGTGGAAACTGAAGGGCAGGATTAGATTAATCAAAAACGGTCTTTAACAGCCTCTTAATGCACATAATTTTCAGGTACTCTTATCCAAACGTGTGGTTCATGAAAATCCCCCTTCATTAATTTCTGCACTGTGCATTCCAATTGTGCATTTCCTACGTGTCAGAGGTAAACAAGTCTCATGTCAGTACTGGGGGGACTATGCCAACGCTGTCCCAGAAAATGCCCCGGCCAAGCTGAACACTGGCCTGGGATCACATATCATCCTCTTCTTCTTCATCCTGAGAGGAGCCGGCCTGTTGGGCGGCGCTAGCGGATGGGTCGTGCATTCCCAGCCATTCCTGCGGGGCCAGCTCAGCCTGCTGCTGCCGTGCCTGCAGAGACACAGTCAAACCCACACAGAGACATGAGACCAGGGGAGCCAAATGAGGAGCTTATAAGGCAAATGGAAAGAATCATGATGGTGAAATCAGATGTCTGATTAGAACTCAAATATCACAGTATTTACTCCTTCACATATCAAGCTATTATTGTATAAGGCACAAAAAATCATAACAGGAAGGTTTGTTGCAATACACGACTAAGGCTGAACATTCTATATGTTGAGATGGTGCAGTGAAACCGATTTATTGATCAGTATTATACTTCTGCAGATTGACATGTCATCCAGTCTTGTGCACTGATAATAAAGAAAAAGAAGTCAAGTTTATTTTCTACCATTCACTTAGAAAGTATAAGTTGAGCAAAGTCAAGGGTTACTTTGAAAACGGCCGTGCTACATGTAGGTAAAAACCTGTTTTTTGTTTTTATCATTTTGCATTTCTTAAAGGAGCAAATACAAAACAAGTGAGACTGTTATGTTGTCTCCACATAGCCCAGATATGCAGCTACATCTCTGAAGAGGTGCACGTTACCTAAGACTGGATCCTTTCAGTTATTTATATAGTCACTGCACAAGTGCCACAATACTACAGCATGTTTTACTGTGTGACACTGGGTCAGAGGGTGTATCCTTACTAACAGCGTCAGGTACCAAAACCCGGTGCCAATACGGGAGTGACGAGATCTTGCACTGAGATCTCACGATATTAAAACATGATATTTCTCGTCGAAGCAAAAGCTGTCACGATATCAGTACATAACAGAACCAGGCCAGTATGACAGAGTGTGACGATAGGTTCACATTAACGTAACTCCTTGCTTGTTCATTTTAACACTGAGGGGTTGCAGGGAGAGTGTTGTAGGCGTGTACAATACAGCCAAGTTGTGATGAGTCAATGTGAGAGGCTTCATTCACATTTCCAGCTTGTGATTCTCATTGTGTTTTGGTTAGCCATGCTGCTAACGTAGCCTACTCTACCTTAGCACCAATTTTACCACGAGTATGTCAGTAGTGATATATATATATATTTTTTTAAACAAAAAAATACACAGTTTAACATCAAGTATTAACAAAAACGCATCACATGACATTATGGTGTGGTAACTGTGACCCAGACTCGACAGTGAATAGCAGTGAATGCTCATGCTAACAAGGTAAACAAAAGAGTCTCCTTCCGGTGGGCGTCTGTATCCCAACTGTTCCCTGTATGTGATTGGTCAAAGCAGAGCCTTTGCTGGGTGATGTCACTATCTGGTGCCATGTGGTGAGGGTGAAAACAGCATATATGGTCACACACAGCTTCAATCAGAAGTTAGATGCTCATGCATAGTTAATGCACAGTTATAAGGCCTGAAGAGACTTGTGAAATCATACAGGAGAGAAGTCAGTCAGTCGAGGTTGTGGCAAAACCTTTTACAGCGTTTGCATATTGTCGTCTTTTACTGCATATGATAATGAATACTCAAAACGTAGAACTGAAGTAACTAACTACAGGATGATTAAAACATTTCAAAATGCAGCTTCATTGTTTGGAATTTTGTGACTTTCACTCAAATAAACGACCATTTTTCCAGTCATATATTTCGTCATTGAAGATTGCTTATAAATATTTTTAAAACATCATCGCATGAGCTAAGTATATCATCACACCCCTACCTGACAGCCTATTTATGGGTTGGAAATATTTTAATTCAATCTCCTCTGATGGATCAGGCTCCTGGTGTCACTGAGCTTTCTGGTTTTACTTCCCCCCCCCATCCAAAACATGGAAATTAATACAATAAACGAATCAGAACATAGAAACGCTGCCGATTCCTCACTGGTAAGCCTACATGAAAACTATTTTTGACCAGTACATTTCTGCTGTCGATCAGCGTGGTGAAGACCATGCTGTCCTCATGCTGACAGCTGTTCTGACGAGAGACGCTGCACAGAGGTCAGAGTCAGTGTGGACTGAACAGATCAAACCTTCAAGTCACACATATGCATCATTCAACCTAGCGAAGTCCCAGTTTCAAGTTAATAGTGGGCCAAAACCCACCATCAATCCTTCTTCAAGTAGTAGGCTACTAGTAAGTTTAGCCCAAAAATGAGCTGACAACCAGACAAGTCAGCATCGCCAAAAAGCAGAAATTCTTGTCCAGAAGAAAACGGGCTACAAATTAGTCACGTACACAAATGGCAAAGCATGCATGCAATTCATCAGTTTATACTTCAATTAAAATATATTAGCCTATTTCTCATCATCAGCCTCATCATAGCACACTACAGTGGCTAAATAAAAAAAAAAGCTGGAAACTTGTTGCAGAAGTGATTTTCCTATTTACTGTGTTCTCTTCAAAAATACAGGCTATGCACTTTGAATGGTAAGGTTATTTAAAACAATTTATGAAAAACAGATTCAGAAGTGGTGTTGCCAAAACTAAGAGACCTGGTGGCAACTGTGTCACCAGTATGAGATGTTAGTCTGGAGCCCTGGTACACAGTGAGGGAATTACTGGCTACGCGTGAAATGCATGTACGTATACGTACTGTGCATCTAACCTGTGGTAAAACATCAAACAAAAACTACACACACTTAAAAAAAAAAAAAAGCACTGAATGCTTAGTAGTATCAGACATTCTTCTGTTTCTATCACCTGCAGCACATGTTTATATTTGGAGAAGTACAAATATTGCATTTCATACTTAGTTGGAAGTTTGTTTAAAAAAAGTCAGAGAAAGAATGGAATGTAAAACCTTAATACAGTGTTTTATTTTTATTACAATTTAATTTTTCATTAAAGAAAACTTACAAAAACATAGGTGGATCCTGTCAATTACAGTTCTTAGGCAGAAAGAAAATCAGAATTGGCAGGTTAGACTTAAAAAAAGAGAATCAGCTAAGAAAATTGCAATCTGTGCATCTCTACCTTGTACCGATACTGACTGTGCGCTTCGGTGCACATAATTTGCAACTCTGAGTGTTTGTGCTTTGTCCAACGACACATTGATAATGGGGGTGGCTAACAGTGACACTGTTTAGTGTTGAATACAGACCCTGCTTGCAAAAGACAAGTGACAGAACAAAACTCAGATCACCCAGACTGACAAACTACAGCATAATCTCCAGGAAGGACTGTGGAGACAAATATCAGATGCAACAATCAGCAGCAGAAACAGACTGACATACAGTAAGTGATGCTGTGATACCTGTGAGTGATCAGCTGTAGGTCTATATGACACAAGCAGGGTAGAGGATGGCCAAACTTTGTTTCTCTTTAATAGACATTTGAGAACCCCATCCCCAGTGGAGATTACTCCCTAGGTCTACAGTCATTCTGCTGTTCTCTGCTACTTACAGACATTTCCCCACTGTGGGATCAATAAAGTACCTACTCTACTCTACTCTAGCCAAAAAAACAAAGTTGTACCTCCTTGTCATGTTGTAGCCCTGTTATTATTATCTTTTAAATAAAATGTAACATTTTATGCCCTCTATCGGGAGTCAATTGTTTGCCATGGTATCAAAAATGTTCTTGAATATCAATATTTTTTAAGGCATCATATCGAAATAAGAAATTCCAGTGTGGTGACAACACTACCAGTTAGTGATTCCTTTTCAGATCATACCTTTGCAAACAACTCCTGCTGTTGTCTCAGGAGCTCTTCCTCTGGGATGCCCAGGTTCTCCAGTCGAGAGCTGGCCTTCCTCCTCTTAAGAGCTACGGTTTTACACTCCTGCAGGACGTCTTTCACCTCTGTAATGTATGATGCAAAACCAAGGCTCTCCAGGGCTGTGGTGTGAAAACAAGAGGTGAAAGTGAAATTACTCTCTGTTGTTTCTCACAAGGGGCAGACACCTACTCTTGTGTTCCCCAATACATTTAGGTCAGAGAAAGCGTGCACTGGGACTCACCATTAATGACATGCTCAGGAGAAATAGTCTTCTTGTCAGACTTGTTGCATATGTCGTTGGCTTCTGAGGATATAAGGTGTATAAATTCTGTGCAGCAATTAACCACAAGTTCCCTGGCGTCGTTAGCCACTCGTACATTAGGGAGCGTTTCTTTAATCATCTTGTTTATAGCTGCCCTGGGAATGGTAAGGTCGTCGTCATTTCCAGAGGAAGAAGCCATCGTGGCAGGCAAATGAGCACCAACCAAAAAACAGGTCTTTGACTGAGTGGCTAGGAGACGGTGTTAGGCCTCCTTCGGTTTTTAGAAGTTAATCTAAGTTATACTATTCTGGTCAAGACAATGGCAAACAGCTTAAACCTCGTACTGTTTGACGTCTCAAAGTTAGCTGCCTGCCTAGCTTGCTAACGAAGCTAATCTTACGTGTTCAAACATGCGAGGTGCAGTTTCTGCAGACCACAACTGTTACACAGAATGTGGCAGAAAATTCAATGTCCAAGAAACGTTAAAGCACAAATAAGACAGCACAAAAGGTTTATATAATACAAAAAATACATAGCCAGCTTGCTACCAAGCTAGCTAGTAGCTATGGTCCCTGTCGCAATCAAGCCGCAACCCAGGAGACAAGTGAATGCGGCTAAAGATAGGCTAACAATGAACTGCAACTTCCACATATGGAGCTAAACAAAAGGCTGGACGGAGCCGATGAGTAAAATAAAGTCGCCACAACACTGTAGTTTACTTTTCCTTACAGCGACCTAAATTCACCTAATATGTCAAACAACCTGAAAGTTACAAACAATAAATACATAATTTTGTGTTCTGGGCGACATTAACGTACATTTAACCGGATACAACGTCAAACATGTAGCGGATAAGGGTATTCTTGTTCTTCTTCTGTGGTTTATTGGGGGGTTGCATGCCAGCTTACGGCGCATTACCGCCACCTACTGAACCGGTAAAGTTGATCAACCATTGAGCTCAAGGTAGAAAAAACCCCGAGGTGATTATACTTTCATACACAACGCAAATTAAATCCTATTGATGACACCTGTGTTTGTTAAGTAATTAATACCAATCTTATTTGCTTTATTATATTTGCTACCTAGTATGCTCTCTACTGACATAATAAATATCTACCAGTTTCATAACATTCCCACACTATTAAAGTTGGACTCACTGTGCTCCCAGGAGAATGGATACTGTCATGACTTTGTAGGCTGGCCCTGTTAGATTTTACCCACGTTCTTTTATTTAAAGCGTGAGAAGTGCAGACAGGAGAGGACTGTTTAAAATCAACAGAAAGTTTACTCAAAGTCTGGGCACAGGTGAAGTCTTACAGCGCTGGGATCAGAGGGATAGAGCTCACGCAGTAAATCCGTTCTCTGAACCCCGAGTTATGTTTTCACGTTACAATTATCTTCTTGGGCTAGATCCACCCAGGACAAAGGTACAACATTTCACACTTCATAATCCTATTGGCCATTTGGCGTGAGCAGGTCAATCCCTGCCTGCGCCTGCTTGCTGAACTGTGATCTAAACCAGGTGTGTGTGAGCGTGTGTGTGATTTTCAGGTGGCAACTTGATCAATGAACACTGAACAATGGGTTGTCTGCACTGCAGACCCCCTGTGTGTGTGATCCTATTGCAGGACAAAGCAGGACCTAGTGAGTATGCTAAACGGGCCAGGTGGTCATCTCAGGTTGTAGGTCCCCTGTCTCTGCAAGAAGAACTCGGAATATGCTAAGCGTGTTTAGGTGAAGATGCAAAACAGGCCAACAGGCCTTTGTTAAAATGTAAAATAGGCCGTCTGGTTACTTGAAGATACAGACATCCTGTCACTACAGAATCTGCAGCATACAGAACAGAGTTTCACTCAGTAGAATATAGCAGTACAGTTTTAATATATATAAGCAAAGAAGATATAGGTATTAAAAGTAACTAAAGGAAAATGAAGAACTGAAAAGTAACTAAAGGAAACTAAAGTTATATAAAGTAACTACAGCCTATAAGAATCAAATCTTACAGCCCAATTATTTAACATAATTTTCAGTCTGAGTAGTCTCAGAGGACTTCCACCGGATGTTGTGTGCTACAAAGCGATGTTTCAAGTTGCCAAGCTAGTGTTTACCATCTACCATCAACTGTTAATTTAGGGAACAAAAAATTTCCATGTATCATATTCATTTTCTGCCTACACATTAAAAGCTTATAAATATTTTTTATTAATTGTTTTCTCAAACTTCATAGAGACTCAGAGCAAACAGTTAGATCACAGTTTAGGTGTTAGGTAATTGGCCTGTAATCCCGGTGTTATAAACGCTGTATGTTGCTCACAAAACTAGGTGACACAGTAATAAATGTCTTTAAAGGTTTAAAATTACTTTAAAATACACTTGAATCATCAAGGCAGTATAACTATCTGAACTGTCTGAATGCTTTACCTGACTTTGTCCTTCCCCTTAGTTTTGCTTACTGCTTATAATACAGGATGTAGAGGCTTAAAGAGTTAAGACTGTTATAGTAACCAGTTCAGTACCAGGTTGTGATTCAAAACCTGCAGCAGAAACTTAGAGACAGGAAAGCAGATTGAATTGACATTATTTATGGGTTTTCATTTGTTTTATGTCTCAATTCATCACAAGGAAGTTTTACAGCTAAAAATAAAATAAAGAAAAAATTACAGAAAAGCTATACATGGATGAATGTATCTAATCAAAATAACAGAGGAGACATGGACTCAGCTGCTTTCGTCCTTCTCCTCAGTAAAACGTTGTCATCTTCTCCAGCGCAGAAATCTGAGGAAGTTCAGGCTGGTGTTGAAGACCTTGTTGTGTTCAAAAACCATTTTGTAAAATGTGTCAGTTGTGAGGTCGCTGTTGGGATCCACATATTTGAGTGTGGTCACTGGGGTGTAAAGCACGTTTGTCTGATGACGGAAAGGGGGATTGTTCATAATGATGATTTGATGAGTGTGCTAGGAAAAAACACACATCAAATTTAAGTCATAAAGAACATTCTCACTAATTTATCTCAGGTGCAGTGTACTGATGGGATGGATTTTGTTCTGTGGATGAACAGTACTATACCTCTGCTACGTCCTCAGTGGTCTGCCCAAAGGTTTCAAACATTTGCTTGTGGTTCTTCATGTAGATGTTCATGAACATGTCAGCGGTCACTTTGTCAGCTTTGCTGAGATCAGTCTTCAAACCCTCTTCAACTACTTTTCGTTCAAACTCAGCTATCACTGGACCAGGCTCTATCAGGCTAATGCTAACATAAAGAAAAGTAGAGAAGTACAGTTCATAATCATATCACCCCAACAGGAAACTGAAGTGCAGCATACTAAGTTAAAAATGCTACAGAGCTATTATTTTCACTGTAATGGAAAATGCAATCTTAATTACATGCCCTAGTTGTTCTGCTCCTATATGAAACCACACTGCAGAGCTATCTCCTTCTAGATTTGGTTGCTGTAATGTAGGATGTGTCTGGACTTGCCCCAAACCAGGGTGTGCTGTGGTTGTTTTTGACCCTACATATTTTCCTCTTGCTGGTGAGTCAGTGGGCAATGATGTGTCTCCTTGTGCAATATGAGTTTGCAGATGTTACAGACATAGATGAGTGCTGGTTTGCTGATATTTTCATGTCAGTTCTGAAAAAGGGATCTAACTAACTTTCTAATTGAGAGCAGCCTTGTGAGCATAGTTTGAATCTCGCTGAGAAACCTATGGATAATGATGTGACTATAATGTGCAGAGGTCTCTGTGTTCTGCAGAGTCAGCATAAGCGAGTCAGTGTCTTACTTGAGATTAAACCTCAGGGCTTGTATTGCTAAGCTTTCGCAAAAACCTTCCACTGCAAACTTGGATGCTGCATAGATGTCATTGAATAAAGTACCTAAAAGAGAGAAAGACACCGTGAAGACACAATTTTGTCACTGAACAGTAGGGATACAATTTCTCGATACAATTCCCTTCATGATACGATTTGTACGATTTGATTCAATCACAATACAATTGAAAATTCAATGACAACAGTGTATGAGTAGCTGCGGAAACATCATACTTTATTCCTCTTTTCCCCCTTTTCTAGCACTGGTTTGATGGTGTAAAGAAAAACCACATATATTGACTTACATTAAGTCAGGATATCTTATTTACAGAGACTATGAAGTCACTGGTGTATGGAGACCGCACGATATATGTCGCTAGACAAAGTGATACATTTTGTCATGTTTTTGTATCATAATATATCGAATTTTGATATATTGTCCCATTCCTATTGTACAGGAATGCTCTCATGATGAACAGATGTAATGTACTTTACCTTGAATGCCCATAACACTGCTTATCACCACAATATGACCTTTTTTCCTTCTCTTCATGTCAGGTAGGATTTCCTTCAGCAACCGCACAAGCCCGAAGAAGTTGGTGTCCATGACTATCTTCATCTCATCAATGGACTGACACTCGATGGGCCCAATCAGACCCATTTCTTCATTACTTACTGTGAGATGAAGTCAAGTCAAGCATCGAAAGATGTTACCAAGACACGTACATTACAGTTGTCACTGTAAAATAGTTGTAGCTCGCTAATCGGTACTCATGAACTGCACTGATAGTTCTAGTTTTTCTAACTGCACTGAACCAGCTGGTGTAGGCTTACTAAGAATGTCCACCCTGCGCTCAGGGAGGTTGTCCACACAGGCTTTGATGGAGTTCTCGTCACATACATCTAACTGTTTGATCTCCAAGGTCCTGCCCAGAGTCCGACCTGCTGCTTCAACCAGTGCCTCACCCTTATTCAGGTTCCTCATGGTGGCGTATACTATGACAAAAAAGTCAGCCAGAAGCAGTGATTTTGTTCACAATATGGATGCAGAGGTTCTGGTGAAATGAAAGTCTACAAAGACTCATTAGACATTTTCTCCTCATTTCATTTTGAACATTTGTCATTCTTAAAGGGCTAGTGCACCTATACTGTCACATATTAATAACATGTTTTCTACCTTATGCTCAGAAAAGGTTTATCTTTTTTGATTAACTGAGCCTTTAACGGGCCTGTCATTGTTCTAGTTGTGTTTGATAGTCTTGGAAAATCATGGGTTACCTGTGAACTCTGTGAACATGGAATAGTTTTTTTTTTTTTTTTTTACAAATTTTACAAAAGCATAATGTTCATAAAATGCACTTGGTTGCAGTCATATAATCATTAGCCAGTAGTATTAATAGAAGTCACTTGTATTACCACAATGTTAAATATTCATCTTTAGAGAAGTAATCCTGAGTATAGCATAAAGGACATTGGGACTGAAGCTGAACCTTATAGCCAGCTTTACTGAAAATGTTAGTGGACCCTTCCCCTGACTTAAAGCTAAAAGTATTCTTCAGCAGTCTCAACATGCAATACACACACCTTAAACATGTGAACTTTCTTTTCCCTTACTCCTCTGTCTGCTTGTACACTGTCAGCACAAACTATTTTAGAAACGCAGTTGTCAACCATGGCAAGTTTAGGTTAAGGTATATGAAATGTGCATATTTTACCCATAAACATCTTCTTCTCATTTTTAGCGAGGCGGACAGCCAAGGTGAGGCCAATCCCAGAGGAGCAGCCTGTGATGAGTACCACCTTCTGGGTCATTGTGCCAGATGCGTCTTTGTCTTGCAGCTCCAGAAGCAAAGAATGCAGGGGAATAAAAGAGCGGAGGTAATAGATGACAAGGAGGCGCTTTTAAAGCCTGCTCCTTAATCCACAGGTCTGCACCTCAGCAGAAACCTTGTGTACATGGACTGAGGATTAGCATCAAGCATGACCTGCACTGGTGCTGATGCCTAGTCAGGTTTTAGGCTAATGAAAACTAAGTTCATTGTTGTAGTGTAAAAAAAAAAGTGGCCAAAGAAAAAGTATGTTCTGATTTTAATGAAATAAAATGGAATCAGTTAACACTTTTCAAAATAGGCAATATTTTTATTAAAATTCATAAGTTCTCAATATAAGTATTTTTCTTTGCAAGCCAGGCTATAAGAAGAGGAATTTGACATAAAAATCAAATGACATGAAAAATTCCAGTATCTCATCTATGAAACATACATTTTGAGAGACATAGTGTGTCATGTTGTTTCAATCGACTCTGAGCACGTGTTTATTTGTAGCTATAATGCATATGACAGAATGAAAGCAGCTGAATATTTAATGGATAAGAATATATGAGCATTCAATCTATTCCGATGTTTTGCAGATGCTACGGCTTTGTGTTTCTCCTATTACTTCTTTTTGATGCGGTCCTGCATGCACTGCAAAGGATCCTTGTTCCACATGCTGACGTCCCAGGCGTGGAACCAGCCGGAGAAGGAGAGTGGCTCCTCACCCTGCTTTATGGTGATGATTGGGATGCCACGACGGCCAGCAGGGTCCGAATTCACGTAGTCTTGGGCTGAAAGGAAAACAAGTATACATTTGTGAACAAAATCTCTTATGAACTTTCTCCTCATCTGTAATAGCTCTGTCTGTCTTACCGATCTTCATTGACCCCGTTTTCTCAGTTTCATTGGCATCAGCTCCGATCCAAAGAAAGATCTGGTTGGACAAATAACCCAGCGAAATTTAAGGATAAGTCCACAATAAAAGGATTTAAAAGATCAGAGACTGCACAGTTTCATTAAATGTGAAGGTATCATACCTGATCCCAGGTGTCCAGGATCATGACATCATCGGTCGCTAGATCCAGTTGTGTGAACTCACCGGGGACCTCCTCCGCCTACAAATTAAGCAGTACACATTTAAAAGGGGACCGCCCACCTAAAAAATACAACGGTATACATTGTTTACGCCAGCAGGTTATGACAAAATGTTACATGCTATAGTTTGGTGATATCTGGTAACCATAATAACTATGACAAGAGGAAAGGAGTAAGTAATGTGACATATTATACAAAAACATAAAGTCCATATTAGGAGGAGGTAGGGGTGGATTGCTAGGTACATGAAACATGACATTCCCCGAGTGGAGTTCAATTAGTGTGTGTCTTGTGCTAAACAAGAGTTATACTTCCAAACAGTGGATTTGTTCCTGAATGTCACCAAGTATTTCCCCCCCTAAACCTAACCAAGTAGTTTGTGTGGCAAAACATATTGAAACAGTGACCGTTTCATAATTGTAGCATCATATTTATGGTGGTTTCCATCGTGTTTATGGTTGTTCCCATGACAACAAAGCTCTGTAAAGCTCAGTGGTGCGATGTATGTTGTGGTTAATGTTGATGGAATTGTTGCAATTCCTCCCAGGACCATAGGAGGGTTATTTACTGAGACGCCCCTATTGAAGACACAAGGGACCATGTGGGTCGTATTGGTTGGAGGACTTATTATTTAAATAGTATATAAAAACAGTCAAGATAGAAAAAATAGTGTATATGATTGTACTGTATGATTCAAAATATAATAAAAAGAACTATCTCCCCTAACTGTATTAAAACTGATGAAAACTTAAACACTCACGCTCAGCCTGCCAGACTTATTTGTGCAGCCAAACAGTCGTGGGGGCTTGACCACCCTCTCCAAATTCTTGGAGGTCTGATAGTCCTTCTTCCCGCCCAGTGCTGCCCAGAAACCAGCTGACGACAAGCAGAACACAGCAGTTTTCCACAGGGAATATGGTACACTGTTATCCTGCCGAAATCAGAGGTCTGTTTCCAGGACTCACCTGGCTCCTGGGTCTCCTGCACCTCAGTGGCAGCTCCGCCAAGCAGGCCAGCAACATACTTGGTTGCAGCCATCTCCTCTGGGGTTGAACCCTTTCCCTTCCACAGAAACAGGGAATCAGGTGTCTTCAGCACAAACACATCATTGGTGTTCAGAGCAGAGGCAGTGGGCTCCACCTGGGCCAGTAAGACACAAAGGGAGGGAGATTATGTTAGCGTTCAGTATAAAGCATCACTTTATGCACACTTGCTGTAATAAAAGAGGCTCTGACCTCAACAGCCCGTGTGGCCTTGGTGGAGCTCTGGCGGATATGGAAAAGTCGTGTTTTGCCGGCCTTGCTCTCCCCACTCTTACGGGATGTCCCGCCCAGGTGGATGACCAAAGGCTTGCCTTTAAACATACTCACAAAATGAGGAGGTTCTTGGCCCTGAGTGACACGAACCTGCAGAGACATAGCGTGTTTGATAACGATAGCAGAGATAGGAGTTAATGCCCCCATGTCTGAATGGCAGCAGTAGGCTGTTAAAGGAATATTTCAACAGTTTGGGGAATGCTTCCTTGCTAATCAGTTAGTTTATATTAACAGACTAAACAGGGAGAAACAGCCAGTCTGGGTATGTATAAAGGTAACAACATAGCACTTCTAAAGATCAGTAATTAACACCAGTCTAATTGTTTGCCCATTTTCAGTTCCTATGCTCAGCTAACCAGCCACTGGCAGTGGCTTCATACACTATTTACAGATATGAGAGTGACAGCCTTCAACTCTTGCCAAGTTTGTCCTCCAAAATATAAAATTATTCCTTTAAAGAACTCAGTGTTTTTCACAGTAAGTATCTTACCTGTGTAGCTACTCCACCCATGGAATCATCCATCTTGACAGTGAGAAAGGCTGAAGCAGCCAGTTCATCCTGGGTGCATTTCTTCCCTTGCCTGAAGACAGCAAAGCAGCAGTTAACGCATTTTAGCTTCATGCAAAATGAACAGTGACATTCATGACAGAGTCTGAAAAGCAACGCAGGTTAAAAAGTCAAACCCCAGGGGCCATGAAGCCCCAAGTTCACTGCATGTCCATTAGTAATACTTACAATAACAGGATTATCTGCAATTTGGTTTTGGAATTTGCACTATTACTCCAACGTGCTTTATTTAAAATGGAAACTCCATCAATACAAACAACATATAAACATGTTTTCTGAGTGTTAATAATTTTCAGTCTGTCTTTCGATTCTCCACTTTGTCCAACATGAAACACCTCAGTATAGACTGTCATCAAATCTTGTCATCTA